CCGCAAATGGCAAAAGGAATGACGCTATCGAAATATCCTGACCCTTAACAATGCGACTGCAGACGCTAAATATGAGTCGTGCATTATCGCCGGTCCCACTTCGTAACAGGTCTTGCACAAAGCTTCGAAGCCAGTTGCCATGAGTCAGTTCCAGAGAGAAAAGAGGAGATTTGCAATTAGTGTTGATGGCGCCAATCGTGACTGTGTACTTTGATGTTAGGAATGGAGTCAAGATGTTGCGAACAGCCTCAGGCAGTTGCATCCAGCGTCCATAATTTTCCTCCCCTTGAACATCCCGAGACCGGCTAATCACGGCCGAGTCAAGGTTGCAGAACCTGAGCATATTTTGCATTGCATACGCGAGAAATCCTTGGGCTCTCGTGTTAGATGTCGACAGAAAAGCCTCGACAAGAACGTGCTGCAGGAAGAACAGAATGAAGTCAAAAGTCTCCTCCATACTGTCAAAGTTCGATAAGACCAGTATATCTTTCTTCTCCTTTATCGTATCTACTCGATTGGGATCAAGACAGCCGATCAAACCCAAACACCGAGCCGAGAGAATAGTGATGGATTCCGAGCTCGCATTGAATTTGACACAGCAATCAAGCAAGGCTCGAGTCAGCTGTGAAACAACCGGATCTGGTTGTTCACTAAGCACTGAGGCATGAACGAATTCTTCATTGCCAGAAAGAAAGGCAACGAGTTCCTTCAAAGTTTGCTCAATGACTACCGCGTTTTCACTTTGGCTGCGACGAATGAAAGCCAAAAATCGGCTCCGAACGTCCATCTTTCCTCTAAGCTCGTTGATCTCTACCTCAAAATTGGCTAGCCTCGGTATTAAAGAAAGAGAGGGCATGGTATGGAAGATGTCGCGTACCACATCACTATGATGATGTATGATATAACCAACCAAGTCATGAGCATGACTTTGTGTTTCTTCAGTGAACATGTCCCAGTACTTTATCACTATAGACAATGTCTGATCAATGAGGGACTCGACCTCTTCCCCCTGAAGAGTGCTAATGAGGACTCTCCACACCATGAATGCATGATTGCACAAATCCTTCATTTCGAGTGCGGATTGTAAGCAAGCACATATCTAATTTAAGTCAGCCGCATTGCACTAATATGACTGAAAGAAGGTTTAAAGGACAGACCTGTGGCAAAGCACTACTGACGTGACCTCGAGCGACCTTGATCATCTCTCCAATAGCTGCAAGATTTCTTTTCTTTTCCATGAGTGACTGTCTGACTTGAAAATCATTTATGGCATGTGCAAATTGTGTAATGATGCCAAGTACATGCTCTTCGATGAAGTGACCGATCAAGTTGCCTCGTTTTTGTGCATTGGCGGATTTTCGTGGGACAAGGGCGGCGAGGAGATGAAGCGCTCGCTGGAACTGTTACACTTAGTGACCATGGCCAGCAAGCCTTGAGTGCACACCTACTCTCGCTCCTTTTCTGACGCTCGAGTCCCCCAAATTCTTGAGAATTTCACAAGCGATGAGAATCGGCTCGACTCTCAAGAGTTCGGCTAAGGTACGTCCAGCGAAGGCGGCATCCACTGTGGATAAGATGGACATTATACTATCTTCCGGGTCCGATGATGGCTGGCTCAACAAGAACGCTAGTATAGCGGCGAGATTGTTCTTCTCTGAACATATATCGAACGGGGTTTTGAGTTCTTTGTATGTGGCGCCTACCCTGGCGATGATGTCCCGTTTTTGTGTGAGCACAAGGTAAGGTAAAACATGAACCTCAGTTAATCGTAAGAAGTCATCCACTTGCATCCCTAGGAGATCGCACAGCTGTTCTGCCATGTAAGGGCGAGACTGGAAGCTCTTGACCACGGTCACAGAGAGGGTTCTCCAGAATGGTCGAAACAAGCCAGCGGGAGTAAGTGAGAGATTTTGCGCGAGTCTGGAGAGCTAGATGGGAATTAGTGCAATGTTAATTTGGTCCAATGTTAATTTGAAGAGAAGTTTCCAATGATTCACACATACTTCAGTGTATGCGATGGAGCAGACGAATGGATTCGAGTGACCCAGATATTCAACAAGACGCAGCAAAATGATGTTCATTTCTTCGTCATAGGAGAGCCTTCATGGTTGAAAGGATGATTAGCAACATGAGCAGGATGTTGAATCAAAGAAGGCTTACATTGCAAGCCGACAAATTGTCAAGATGCAACTTTCATGATAATAAATGTCCTTCTTCTCTGCGATCCCGCGTAACCAATCCAAGATTCTTATGAAGTTGTCATGCCTAACACTTCGGTCCAGTTTTCTCTGAACAAACGAAGTAATCGAAAAACTAGAAAGATCGTCAACACCCACCGCTAGGCCGCACAGTGCCGCACAGTCCCAAGAGTACATACCCCGCCGTTATTCGTAATTCTCTTATAGAGCTCCTCATAGAGTGTAGATAGAAGTCCCCGAAGACAGAAGTGGCGAGCCGCGTGTATTCACAGTTCGGAGAATGCATGATGACCCTACGTAAAGCAGATATTGCAGCTATTCTCAAAGGCGCAGTGCGGGAGAGCGTAGGTAGTATGGAGGCAAACACGTCACCCAGTAGGTCAGCCCCGCGGCACTGCTCTTCCGGGTCGAAGCGGTCTTTTCTGCTTTCATCATCGCAAAAGCGACAATGTGATGCATCATTCGAGGTAGCTCCGTCAATGCGTGCCAAGCTTCCAGCCATAGCGCAAGGTAAAAGTCCTAGGGTGTGTAGAACTTCGCATTTTTTCTCCTCACTAATTTCGCCAAAATATTCACTACAGCCGGGATTAGGTATCCGTTATAGCATCTCATTGTAGTATGACTTACGACACGGCAGGTCCAAGGTCCTTGATATCACTGGAGTCTCGATCACAAAGCAAGCTGAGTAATTCTGACACAAGCCTTTGCAGCATACTGCGGTTGAATATATTTGCATCAGAACGCGAAACACAGCGTCGCTTCACAGAAGGACCACTTTCAGTGTTGTCAACTAATGGGTCAATGGTACGTGACTCTTGTGATTGAGCAATCCCTGGCACTGCGTGCTGTGTGAGAGCATCAGAAGTCTCAAACACAGTGGTATACTCCGCTTTTGATGGCAAGACTCTTCTCAGAAGATTCTCAACCGATGCCTATTTATAGAATTAGCCTCAAATGCACACATACACAGATTATTCATGCTCGGTTACCTGCAGACGCGGCTCTAAAGACTGAAAGAATGCAAGTCTCTCCGTCATTGCATTGTTCAACAGAATCGATTTGTCCGTGATGCTAGCGCGACGCGCTGTACATCTCAACATGTCAACAACTCTGTTTATGAGCTGGCTCAATTCTAGTTGAATGACCGGGAAATAGCTCAGGTCGTCCGTGGCCAACAGGTCTCCCAATTTTTGGAGAACAATATGGACCAACTGTAAGTCTTGATCTGTGCATCTCCCCTGGGTGAAGAGAGTCCCAGCTGCGGCTATCACGCGGACAACAATCTGTGTGGTTGTCTCTTTCGGAGCGGGAAAAGTCTTTTGAAGCCAGGAAACGGCCAGGTCCCATAGGCGCTGATAACCGTTCAGGAGCCATATCTTATCATGCCGATCAAAAGGGGTGTCAGATGAGGTATAAGCGTGTATGTTAGACTTGAACATATCTGCACAGAGTAAGAAGCTCTGGAGCAATGACCCTGCGTTGATGCTCCTATTGAATGAGCCATGCGGAAGACGGAGTTTCAAAAGATCTATACAGAATTGTTGTTTCAAGTTGACTACAGGAGGATTGGTCGCATGCTCATTGGATAACTGTTGAGAATGAAAAGCCTCTAGAGAGCACAGAAGGTCTAGAGGAGGTTAGCCAGACATCCGACACGGACGCGACGCATGAACAAACCCATGGTGCATGATCGTAAGAACGAAGAGATACAAAGGAAAGAATGGAAGATTCTGGCATGATTATTGGGCACACTCGTTATGCTCGACAGGATGCTATTGACTTTTTCTCTAAGTCTGTCTATCTCCCAGATACTGGCCGCTCGCAGGAGTCGGACAAGCAGCCACGAGTACAGGGGGACCTGTTCATCGTTTCCCAGAATCTCTGGATCTGCAACCTCAACAAGAACCAAAGGTGCTTTGTCGACAACAGCCTGTATAATATCCAGGCAGTCCCAGAGCTGATTTGCTAGGTCCTCCCGGTGGCGCCCCTGGTCCTTGATACAAGGCTCGAGGCCGGCTTTGAGGGCAATACAAAGAAGCTTCTTGACATCGGCGACGCTGTCATTGGATAGCAGCTGGCTGTATTTGCCTTCAAGGAGTTCATGCCGCAGTTGTGAGAAAGCTTCTTTGGTTAGGATACGCGTCTGATCGCCTTGCGAGGACAGACGCGGAACCAGCTGCGCCGCCAGGGTCGAAGAAACCGTCTCTGCAACGTCCGATCGGTTGGTCTTCGATGTGGAGAATCGAGACGATTTGCGCTCAATTGTTGCCATTGGCAATGCAACCACACATGGTGCATGTATCTTCGAATATTCTAGGCGATGGGGAAGCCCGGTAATGACAGGTGATGGTGATTAGAACAGGCTCTGGAGGATGGGGGGAGAGGGTTGTTATTCGTGTTCGATCCGATAATCACATAATCACCCAAGGCGGCGGGCAGAATCATAGATTTCCATACATTTCCACTTGGACTACCGAATACCTCGCCTTCATTGGAGTTCAGAATTTTCTTAGGCACTTGCTGCTTTAGGGCCTGTCATTTCGAGGTCAGAAGCTCTCTGTTGATGCAAGTCCCAAAGCAAAGGACGACGACTGACTTTTTACATGTGCTATACTTCGTACTTACTCATACTCGTCTATGGTTACTAGTTACCCCAGCCCCGAGGCACTGTACTATTTATTGTTCGTGTATACATTAAAGTGGGGCACTGCGCCATCGCGTGCGGTAGTCCTGATAAGATAATTGAATACATGTTGAAAGCAGAACTAAGCTGTAGTTACCGTAGAATGTTAAAATTGTGGAGATGACTCCGTTGCACCTCAGCTTGGAGTTACTTGACTAAAAATCGATTGAGCCCAGAAGAAATTTGCCAATTTCATCACCGTTGCGATCCCTGGCAATTCATGCAAGTCAAACTAGCACATTGATACGCTATAGTTTTCAGGTGCTGAAAATTTCCTCTCCTTGGGCTCTCCTCCAGTACACTTCTGCCAACTGCCTCACATTCATTAAACCCGGGAATCGTCATGGCAGTGCCTGCTCGCATGGACTCACGTCATGCGTACTTTATGAAGCAGGCATTAATAATGGTATATGTGGATACCAATATCGCTATAGAACAATAGCAAACTAATGTGTTTTCTTTAGGGTGAAAAAGCACTTGAGACAGGCGAGACGCCGGTAGGATGCGTCCTTGTTTATAACAACAAAATCGTCGGTTCAGGGATGAATGATACCAACAAATCCATGAATGTAGGTTAATGCCTAGGCGCGGTAAGCCTAAAGAGCACTATTCATAGTTATGGGTGTCTTGGAATGTAATTTCACTACTATAATGGTTTCTCTTACAGATACTGCCTGAATGAGCCCAACGTCCGATTTTAGCTGATGAAACACAGGGCACAAGACATGCTGAATTCATCGCCATCGAGCAAATGCTTGAAAATCACCCTAGAACGCTTCTTCATTCGACAGACCTATATGTGACTGTTGAACCGTGCATTATGTGTGCTTCTGCTTTGAGGCAATATCAGATTCGTACCGTTTATTTTGGCTGCGGAAATGACAGGTTCGGAGGGACCGGGAGCATTCTCTCGCTGCATTCTGAGTTCGTTTCCACCCCTGTAACAATTTCTTGCCACTAATATATCGCTCATTAGCCTCTCGATAGACCCACCGTATGTGGTACATGGGGGGCTATTTCGGGAAGAAGCTATAATGCTACTTCGGCGCTTCTACATACAAGAAAATGAAAATGGTATGCACGAGTCCGGTCATTAGCAGTCATTTAAGTCTCGCTGACTGCAGCCCAGCTCCCAAGCCTCGGCCTAAGAAACACCGTGAGCTCAAGACGAGCTTTCAGAATAGCGTACCGGGCAGTCAATCTTCGAGCCCAACTATCTGAAGTATGGAATACCAGCTCATATTATGCCCTCGTATCCTGCAGCAGAAATTCCCAGCTGTATGGATTGACCCAATAAAGGCAAGCTGTTGAAGAGGGTTTCACATTGCGCTAGAATATAAATACGTATACAACAGGTTTCGCGGCGACAGAAGAAACAAGGGCATATCTAATGTTTGTACTATTCATTCCCCCAGATATTCAGAGCGAGCGATACGGCTATTTCAGGCGTTCCGCTTCGAGCTCCCGTTCCGCTTGTTGATAATATTTGGCGGTGTCGACGCCATGCTATCAAAGGGTCAGCGTTCGAGTTTCGAGATGCCTAGACTCCGCCAATTCACCAGGCTTGCGTGCATATGTGATATACTTACTTGATCGTGGTTGACAATATTGATCCATGGAATGACATGGCTGAAAAGCTGGGCATAACGCGAGTTTCTAGCAGCAACACCCTGCAAGTATGGAGAAACCTGAGAAGTTCCGTACAACGGTTCCCCCTTTTTAACCTTGTCTACCATTTCTCTCATATCCATCTCGACTTCCCGTGAGTTTTCCGTGAAACCATAGAAGCGATCTACAACGGCAAATTAGCATCCGTAATGGCACTTTTCCCCAGCTGCGGTGCGAAACTCACTGCAAGATCGTTGGTAAAAGATATGTAGACCTCCAACGAGACCGATTGCTGTTGCTAGTCGCATGACAGGAGCGAAGCCGCCTCTGCCGACATGGGACGGGCTCACCCTCTCCATGATCCAGAAAGCAAGTGGAGAAGCAGCAGCCAGTCCACCTGCTACAGCATAATCAGAGGGTCTTGCATAACCGACGACTCGTCTCAAATGCCTGAGTTCCAGTGTGAGATTCTGCGATCATCAATGATTGAAGGCGGGTCCATACGGGTCGGAATCAATTAGCTATGGAGAATCAGTTAGTGCCAATTGTCCATTGAATTGACTTGCTGAGATATCTTAAAAACATACCGGATAGTCGGTGTTGGCCCGCTTTGGGGGGACAAACGTTGCCTTGTGATCGGTAGCCATGATCGTTTGGCGTGGCCAGAAGAAGGTGTGTAATAATCGTGCTTTGGGGATTGGCTTCTGCCGCAATGAAGTTGGAACTCAGAGGGAGTCTTGCCAAGCAAGCCCACCGCCTTACCTGCTGGAGTCTAGTTAACTAGTTAGCGATTAGCACATGACTTAGTCATCACCAAATATACTTCAGTGGACCACCTGGGATACCGCACTTAATGTACTGTACCAATGATAATGTATGTATGGAGTACAGGATATTTTGTAGTACTAATACATTGGAAGAAGCCCTGAGTCTGCAATACATATCCTTCCCGGCCACGAATTTCACAACTCATAATAAATTTCAAAGATTGTTCAAAATCCAACAAAAATCTTTGATCAGGGTTTGAGATAAATATATTAGTTATTGCACACGGCTAAACTATACTATCTAATCTCATCAGCAATTATTCTGTTCTTTTGGTGTTTAAAAAGCATTTGTAATTTATCACAAGCTGTGAATTTTGTGGCGAGGGAGGGTATAGCTTTCCTAGTTTTCTACGCCTTATACTATTATATGTGAGTTTAATCAAGACGAGTATATTAGTATTAATTCAGACTCTAAGGGTCCTAATGAAAAGAATAAGAAAGATGCTTTAAGAAAGAATGATTCTTTCAGCTATAAACAAAAGATTGTAATATTGCCCAGTATTAAGTATTACAATATTCCAATCACAGTACTGGTAGCTTTGATAATTACTATGAATACTGGCTGTAATTATAATACCACAGTAGTGGTGCTAAACCATCTGTAATAGCCAGTAGAGGTTTTAAATTCTTATCTTTTAGTTAAACTGTTACTGTATGTAGATATAAATAAATAGATAAGATCATTTGATATTATTATACACCCTAATAGTTCAATAAACAGAATGAAAACAAAGCTTCTTAAACAAGAATCCTAATAGTAGTATTTTTAAATGTCCGATAGTTCCTAATATAAGATTACAATCACTACAGGACTTGTATTTCAATTACATTGCCGATACAGTGTTTATAATATTCATTTATTGGTCTGCAATGAGTAAATCGCCCAGCAACTTACTTGCCTCATTGGTCACATACGCGTCCCGAGCTTGCAGATCGCGTCGCCGCGTACAAAATCGCTTATACTAACTAGCAGGAAAACAACAACTTACTCGATATTTCGATCAAGATAACCTAGTCCTGCCCACCTAAACTTCGCCGATTTTCTTTTCTGACTTGCCACTCTACGACCTCAGTGTATTGTTTTTCTTTCGTCATCTCCAGAGTTGAGGAGCGCCTGGAATATGGAAACTACAACAGAACCACTTGATGCACTAACAAGCCATGACGATTCCTTGTTTGACTATGACGCCGGCCTTGATGCGGCATGGCAACAGCCTCAAATGAACATCACTGTAAGGTCTAATAACGAGGACCCAACGCCTATTCTAGGGGTGGACGATAAGGTCCAAGTTAGCAAGCACCGGCGATTTGTTGCGAAACTAGATGAGAGCAGGTAAGGCCGGTGATCACACTTCATTAGAGCCCGAAATGCTTACTTATGCATCGCCTAGATTGCTCTCGCAATCCGGGATACCAAAGCTACGCCGCACGTCCAGGCAGAGGCTGAGACTGAAGGGCAAAGGGCACGAGGTCTATGACCACCAACATCGGCATCACTTCTCTCCGACTGCTAATTTCATGGAACAGTTTTCTGACGTCGCCCGGCTTTTGAACTTCTACCAATTATGGCTTGACGATTTATATCCTCGTGCCAAATTCGCTGATGGTCTGGCCATGATCGAAAAACTTGGACACTCTAAGCGCTTGCAGACGATGAGAAGGGAGTGGATTGATGAAGAGAAGCCGAAAGCGCTGACGGCTGATATAAACCAGCAAGTCCTCGATGATCTTAGTGCAGACATGGACCCTGCGACTACGGTAGAAACATCCGATACAGCATTAGGCGGAACGATTTCTGGGTCTAGACGCGGGTACATAATGTTCGACCTGGCACAACTACATGCGCCAACTCCAGAGTCAAACAAACAGATACCAGGAAGTTGCGTAGCGGATGATACCCCTGAAGATGACGAGTTGGATGTCCTTCTACGAGAATTTGAAGATGGAAACCATGGCGCCTAGGTCTCTGTTCTGCCTGCTTGTTGGCACCCGAAGTCGGATATTTAGATATCACCGAGATTCGAGACGCATAGGCGTTAATTTTAACCCAAGGACTTGTGTTTGATACAGATGACGATGCTCTTGAGCACAAATCCCAAATGAGAAAGGGAAGAGTCGATTTACATACCGTGCGTAGAGATCTCGTGTATTGAAAGCAGCCGTATAATATGTGACAGCCAGAAGATTGCAAGTGTACAAAGTCAGGCTGATATGAGCACTGCCGGACTCGAACCAAACTACAGCTCTTGTGGAAGGCCGTGCGAATTCGAAGCTGATAATAACATCACAGGTTCGGTGAATACAGAGAATTGGCCCCCCGCGCCCGCCCAGGTCAGCCTCTTTCCCCGGATAGCAGTGTTTTCGACAACAGTTGCTACCTCAATGTCATCCTGTGTCCCTTGGCCAGTTTGATAAGTAGCGGAAAACCCCCACGACCAAGGATGGCCATCGCTATCAATGGCTATTGAGTGATCTGAACCCGCAGCCACGGCATTGGCCTTAATTCCAGGCACAGGAGTCGGTACTATAAGGATGCGCGGGCGCCCACGCTCATCCTTGATAACCGCTTCATCCAAGAGTGTGTCAATCCTCAGCCCCGTTTGGTAACCGTCCAATCGTCCCCAAACGAGGCACTGACCGCTCCTAGTGACGGCGAGTGAGTGATGAGCACCACCGCAAAGTTGAGTGACACCTTGGTTTGACAGCGAATCGACAATGGTAGGGTGGACAATAGCAGCATCGTCGTCACCAGCACCGGCTCTGATACCAGTTTCACCAAAACTGTTCAGACCCCAAGCGTAGACTTTGCCAGATTGGTGGACGGCGAAGGAGTGGAAAGCGCCACAAGCAATGTGCACGATGTTTTTAGGTAGACCAAACTCGCGTGGCTGAAGCCCATTTAGCCTATTCCGCTCAATGATACGGCGGCCTAGCTGGTTCTGCTGGCCGGAACCCCACGAGAATACGGCGCCCTTCTCGTTTAGAGCGAGAACGTGATTATCACCACAGACCATGTGCCTGATCTTTTTTAATGAGGGGATATGCGTGGGACTAGCTTGGACTTTGTTATTGGGGTCAAAGCCTAGAATCCCGTCGTTGCTCTTGACAAAGTCAGCTTAATCTGAGCAGTTGGCGCGTGAGCTAACATACCCTAAAAGTTCCCCAACCATAGACCTGACCTTCATCTGTAAGAGCAAAACTAGAGCTATCGCCAGCTGCGACTTCCACAAAAGTAGTACCCACTGGGAAAGCGTCAGAAGGAATAGCAGTAGGAGTCGACTCGTGCGGGTTGAGGCCAGTGTCATTGTCAGAGTCTGAATCCGAGTCACTTTTAGTCTCGTCCACATCCTTGTAGCCGTCCTCCCAGGTGGTATCCCTCCCAAGCGCTCCCTGATCATTGACACCCCATGTCAGGATTTTGTTGTCGTGCGTAAGTGCCACGCAATGCATGCCGCCAACTGCGACTTGTACAACGCCGACCCGGTCTGCTGGCAAATGCGGATTGAGACGAGGCCTCTTTACATCGATGGCGGTTTTCCCCGCTCCAAGACCGAGTTCACCAGAGCTGCCTTCGCCACAAACATACACATTTAGACGGGTGGTGGGAGCACTATTGATGATGATCTTTGGTTTTGGCTTCGGCACCCGAGGTCGGGCTACACGCGCCTTCTTCGGTTCGCGGGTCGGTTTTTCTTCGTCGATATCAGCTTTTCGCTTTCCAGCCTTCGCGGATACGGCTCTGGTCGTTCCTTGGCTAGAACGTCCACTGGATTTGCTAACCTTGGTCTCCCTTGGAGCCCTGGCTGCGTCATCAGTATTAACAGAGTTGTTTGCGGTATTTGGAGCTGTGCTCATTGCTGTTCGTTTCGCCTTGATGGCCGTCATAGCAGCTGCAGTATTCGCTGTCTTCATTTTCTTGCCTTTGCCAGCAGACTTAGATGCACTTTTCTTTGGGGGCATCATTAAGAAAACGCGGCACGAGCTGGTTTATTAAACCCAGTATGGAAAAGGCTATACAAAAGAGGGAGGGAGAGAAATGTTTATACCAAGTAGTACAGAGAGTCGGATGGAAACGATTAGATCGAATGAAAGATAGGCTAGTGCTATACAGTATCTTGGGACAATATCACAGACAACACGCTTTCAATTGAAATGGTTTTCTGTTGAAGAGCTGGGAGCGGGTTTAGAAACTGGGGGATTCCACCCGTGACTGTTGTCATTGTTACTGTTTTTAGCTGAAGGAAACAACAGCCCAATGTAGTTACTGGTACACTAACAACGACGACGACGACAACAACCTAAGTCGGACTAGTCTACGTAGCAAGCAGGGTGCTCAAAGCACTGTACATAAGCAACATATGACTGGTGAGCAAACCAAGAAAGCTTGAAAGAGCAAGTCAACCATACTTCAAGTTTCCTACTTTCTGTAGTCTCCCATCCACAAGGCATGTCAGCGATATGCGAATGTCGGTCAAGTGAACTACAAAGTCGTTCCAGCAACTTCTGTCACTTCATTGTGTGTGAGAAATGACGGTTCTGACAGCAGCGTCTTTGTTTACGCTCTTCTTAACGGTCATGTGCCAAATATGCTTCTTTTCATTATGATCAGGGCTCAAAGATAACTAGCGTGGCTCTCACTCAAACATCTGCATATGCATGTGGCCCCTACCTCTAATGCGCTTGCGAGATGTTATTGATAGCTATCGTATTATCATTATCACTACTACTATTATTGTTATTATGGGCTCAAGGTTTGGATTTAGATGATCTGTTCTATTCATGAACATTAACATTGACTTTATATGTACCGTGCAAAGGGATGTAGTACTGTGTCAACAAGGACGGACCAGGGAGTGGCAGATGAAAGGGGCATAGAGGGAAATAAAGAGAGAATAAGCAGGGAGTAAAAGAGCCTTCTTATCCCTGAATGCGAGAAGTGAGGGGATTCTCTGTGCGGATTCTGCCGCACATAATAACGTTTTGACCCAATGGTGTCCATCTCACATCCTTGGGATTTAATGCCGCGTTCGGCTTTCCTTCTCCGTCGCGCTTAGAGTCTGGACTCACGCTCACTCCACTAGAGCCAAGATAAGTGGGAGCGACAGTCACAACTATGGAATCAATAAAATCGGCATACTCGGGATTTAACAGCTCACTCAAGACAGTTCCTCCGCCTTCAATCATGACGCTCTTGATACCCTCGGATGCCAAAGCGCGCAGAATGGCTTCCCAGCGAAGGCGCCAATCCTGATTGTATTCCATAATTCGAAGAAAGTCACCCCCATAGCCTTTGAGCATCACCAGTTTTTGGGGGTGAATGCGGGCTCCCGGCGATACCACAACCCATGGCGCTTTGCCTTTACCATTCACTGCAGTCCTCAGCATGCGGCACTCGGGATGAATGGGCCATCTACCGGTGGGATCAATCACCACGGGTCGCGGTTGCCACATTCTCCCCAGGCCGCCGTAGCCTCCTGCCCCTTCCAGTCTACAGTTCAAGCCCGGGTTGTCAGCAAGGACCGTCCCAACTCCAATCAAGATAGCATCGTGACGAGATCGCAGATAGTGCGTCATAAGCTTAGCTTCGGGTCCCGATAGCACTGTCTGCATGCCTGGAAGAAGTGAGATTTTAGAGTCCATGGAAGATGCGTAAGATAGGGTGACATGAGGAAATGGGCGCCGCTCATCGTGCTTTGGGAGATAGGGTCCGAGGAACTCCAAGGAGAACTGAGGAAATGAAAGAGTGTCTGGTGGTAACGACGACTTTGGGGTCGTACTCGATAGAACCGGACTGCCGCCGTTGCTTTCACTTCCCCCTTTTCTCACGATTCCATGGCCTTTTTGGTATTCATAGCCATCATGCGGTACAAGTTTCACCTCGGGGTTCTGGATTCTCCACTTTGCTGAAACATTGCGCACATCTGTCACCGTGAGGAATTTGCCACCTGCCTCCTCAAGCTTCGCAGGTGCTTCTTTGAACTTGGTATAGATGGAAGATGGTAAATATCCCTTCACTGCTTCCCTTCGTGCGAACTCCATGAGCCCCGAATTTCGCTTCACCTTGTCGATATAATCGAGGTCATGCGAGTGCACACGGCTACTTCCCGGAGTCCTCGCGATGGTCACAGTTGAATAGGCCCCTTCAAACTTCACTACTTTGATCTGGAAATTGCAAATGCCACCCTCTCGCACCCTTTTCTTTCGGGGCCGTTTTCCTTCGGGCAGAGGCCGTGTCTCTGATGTGCGATGAGTTGGACGTCGCAATCGACACATATAATAGTCCGTAGTACAGTGTCCCTCTTTGCTGGAATTAGACCTTTGTTTTACCCACACGTTATCAATGAACGGCCAGTAAGTCTCAAACTCCTCAAGACTTATCTCTATAGGGTCCTTGCATTCGAACATTACTCGTCGAATCCTGGAAATGTTGGGGGGGTTGTTGATTAGACAGTCACATTTGGGCAAGCCCGAATTTTGCGACGTGGGTGTGTCGCCAGAATTGGTGCTCATCTCTCTTAATGGGAAAATCGTGCTGCTCTGCAACGCGGGGGCGTCGGGGCTCGAAGCGGTCCCATTTTCTCTAGCACTAACAGCTTCAGGCGCAGCTTGACTTCCAAGAATCAGGTTATCTGACACGTTGCTGACTTCCTGACCACCGTGGTCATCCTCTTCACAAGATGTAACCATATTCGCGATTGAGGCCCCTCCCCCTTGATATTCCGCTTGAGCCGAAACTTCATTACTCAACGGCTCATCCTCGAGGCTGGATAGTGTAGACTTCGTAGTCGTGTCAGATGCGTCATCATGATCATGTCCCATGTCGGGCACTGGACTCTCCTCGTCTTAAAGGTTTCGTGAAGAAGGGTGTATGCACAGGGCAATGTTCTTAGGTTGCGCGATGCAGCATATATCCATGATGGAATTGCGAATCACTTAGTGTTGGGTGCAAGATGAAGGCTGATGCGACATTATGCCAGTCCTCTCTCTGGTGTTCATTCACTTTCGAGTATCTGGGATCCAACTGAGAGTTTAGTAGTAGGCTGGTTGCTGCGAGTGAGCGGGTTTGAATGATCGAGGCGGGTCTAGGTCTTGGCGTCTGAGCTTTAGTTGCGGGAAAGCACCGGCGCATGGCTTACTCTGTGGCTAATGAAGTTTGTACGTACTAGGAAAAACAAACATGCGTACCTCACGCTGGCCAAACAATATAAGACGCCAATGTGTATCTTCAGGATCTCTAATCCTATCTGAAAACTACGAGGTGTTCTAAGTCGGCAAAAGCCTAGGAACAAAGGGCAAATGAACATGAAGTGTGCATCCCAGATTCCATGGGCAGAGGGGCACTTCTTAATATGCTCCAATCTCAGCCCCAGCGCGCGCAAGTGTTTCGTACACTTTAGGCGGGAGCTTGTATTTGACCATTCCGGAGAATACCATCAAGTCTTTAGCCATGACAAGCAGCTCCTCAGCTAACCCCTGTCTGATCTCATTCTCGTATGCACTAGAGCCAAGACGGTCACGTTCGTGGCCGATGCAAGTGATGCTCCACATAATGATATGACCGATATTGTGGGAGATTATGGCAGGGAACGACGAAAAAGCTTGAGCAGCACTTCGTACGTAGGGAACAGAGCCTCTTGCCCGTAGCGGAAGCAGGTTAAGGTCATTGATAGCCTACGAATTGTTAGTGTCAGCGCAACAACGACTATGAGAGCTGGTAAACAAGGGCTGATAGTATGGAGGAAACCTACATCAAGGGCAGGAGTCCAATTTCCTGCTTCAACTTCTGCCTTCGCCTCCATCATCCGAAGTAACAACCCGCAGGAGTCACGATTGACTTGTCGGATCCGTTGGTAGTACAGGGCATTGGCGTTGTATAGACCGATCATGTTTTTAGCTAAAACAACCGGATCTTCCACAGCAGTAAGGCTGAGACTACTCCCGGGTTCGAGCGGAGATCCCTGGGTTGAACCATGACTATCACTATGCAAATTAGCCCGGGGTCTCAAAGGTTGCAGCTTCAGCATTGGCCCTCCTAGATCTATGGCGACAGCATCGGAAAGAGCTCGGTTTATGATATCGATGACGCGGTCGTAGTCTTCGGCAAGGTGGTATAAGAGAACCGCATCAGTGGTCAGCCCTTTGTCGTCAGCAATAGCCGCTGCTTGTACCGTTATTGTCTTCAGGAACTCTTCTTGGTCGACAAGTTGGATCAAGCTGATTCGCTGTTCGATCAAACCTTTGATCCTACTTCCGTCACAACGTACATCACCCAACAGCTTAGCAAAATCTCTGGTTTCCAGAATGTATTCTCGCAAAGCCTCGTGACACACAGCTGCTTGAGATTTACCCAAGGAACCGGGCAAGTCGGCATTGAGGCACAGTAAAGAGAAGTAATCGATCGCTGCCTCGACATATGCTGTGCGGAACTGCTTCGTGTAATGCGTGATGAGAAAGGCGAAATTAATCTGTGGGTATTGTTTGACAGTGTAGGACACTATCTTCGTTAATAAAGGAGCCAGCAAGGTAAAACACTCCAAAGTTTGCCACTTACGCAGTCCTTCGCCCGATGTATAAAAATCGGACACGCGGAGTAGGCCATAGTATGCCAAAGCAATGGCAAAGTGTACTGCACTAACCGGAGCATAAGACACAAGATATGAGATAGCTTGCTCAAACATGCCTCCTAAAATCTGCAAGAGGAAAAAGGTTCCGTAACCACCCTGGCTGTCTTGACCTTTGCTAAAGAGCTTCTGGCCAATCTCTGCGATATCGGTCTGGATGTCTTCAAGCCCGAATACATCACCTGCAATCTCCTCCGCACGATCATCTTCTCTGGCCAGGGTAAATTGAAGCCACATCCAATCCTCCACTTGTTGGTTGATGCCGTCTAAGCGTCTATGAGTGAGTTCGCAGCGCCCAATGATCTTGTAGCATGCCATGCGATAAGGATCGACAGTGTTATCGGGGGCATTTCGCGACCGCTGTTGATATTCTCCGTTGATTTTTTGTTGTAGGTCCCTCGGCAACCGCCTGTTCTGGGCATAGGTTGTCATATATGTCACAAATTTGTGATCTAAGGAGCGGAAACCTGGATCTTGGCTAACGTACTCTGCTGCCTCCGTGACGAATCCACAGCGAAGGAGATAGAAGATAAGAATCCAGCAATAATCCTCGCCGACCATTTGCAACTCGGTTCCGTCAGGGGCGAGGTCTCTTCTTGCGGCCCTGAGCCTGATATAAGCCCTGATCTTGTTGACCACGGTTGGGATGCCACCGAGTTGTGCTTCTCGGGGATTTTTCGCAATCGCACCCTCCACATCGATATAGAATTGCTTTTCGAGGTATGACCGTGAGCCCTCAATTATACGATTCTTGAGATTGTTCGCTTTGCGTGAGGTTGGCAATTCATCCAAATAGTCCGAAGAAAATTGTCGCTCCCTCAATGCGGAAGGAGCCGAGATATTCATCGCTTCTGGTGACTCCCCAACAATACTGATTAAGGCTTTATAGCCATCATACATTTGCCGTGGAACCTAACGCAAGTCAGCAATAGATTGAAAATTGGATCGCGCGGACTTACGTCACCACCTGCGCGCTGTTCAACGTCAGAGAAGTTGTATAGAATCGGAAATGTCCGAGATTGGAGTCTGGCCGAATTCAGCAGCTGTACTTTCTCTGCATAGTAGCCTATCTTCTCCCTCAGAAAACGAAGATCAGAAGAGTGACTACCCGGACCGTCGTTGCGCTCCATCGAATCTTCAAATATCTGAAGACCTGCCGCTCCAGTCCCCGGCATTCCAATGACCGATTTATCCAAGCCGGAGCGCCCAAAGACACTCCGACGCGAGGCCGAAGCAGGATCATGGCCAGACGCAGTATTGAACTGCTGTGTCCTTTGGACTGAACGGCCAAACGTACTTTTCCCATCCTTAGCATTGTCGTCTTTGTGTGTTAACCCGAAGTGTTGAAATATTTTTCGCCGCTGGTCTTCCCAATTTAGGTCGAGTTTCTCTTCCAGAAACAGGTCAAAATCTCTTTGCGTGCGGGCAAGGCTTTCCGTTATCATGACTTGACGACCACGCTGCTGTAGGTTCCTTAGGTACTTTTGATTATCAGGATCGAACGTCTCCTGCTCTTTAGGAGTCACCGATAGAGAAGCCTGGGGATCTAGAGCTTTGAGGTCCCGTAGCGCGTGACCAGGAGAGACCCCGGAGGCAGCCAGCATATAGTGACTGAGAGCCATGAGTATGTCATTTGAAATGCAATGAGAGGTGGGGGAGAAGGTGGGGAGAGACAGCTTACGCCCTGCTATTCGCTGCATATTGTTGTCTATTGTTGGACTCTTTGGTACCAAGCTCTCGCGCCTTTTTGCGGATATCATCGAGGCCCAGTTGCAATGTGGGCAACTCGTCGAAATTGCTGTTCAGACCGATCGCGGAGAGAGGCCTCTTTTTGCCGCGCTCGAGTAGGCTATTAAAGAAGGCGGGCTGCGTCTGATTAGACAACTGCGCTGCTTGCGCTACACTAGTCTGTGTTGTATTTTGTCCGAATAAAGAGCTGTGGGTAAGTTGCGGTTGTGCCTGCGGTTGCTTTGCAAACAGGGATCCGCCTGAAGGCGTTTGTGTTGCGGGCGTGTTCCCAAGCATACTTGCTGGGCTGTTCTGCAGTGAATTTGCCGGCTGTGTTGTGGTCCCTACGCCAGCAGCCCCAAATAAGGAGCCTGGGGTCGTGGATGTCATCGAGAGAGCTTCGCTGCCGTCGTAAAATCTATGAGGGAAGGAGCAAAAAGCTTTGAAGGAAGTAGATCCGCGATACTGAAATTGCCATCAGTTTTAAATCCCAGAACTTCGGCTACACTCGGAACTCGAGCCAACATACCAGCGTTCTTCTTCTGGCGGGAAGTTGTTCCTCTTTGGTCACTCTGCTCCGTTGCCTTTCACAACGTGATGTTTATAGCAGACTTCTGGCTGGCGATTGCTAGCTAGGCTTGGTGGAGATGGCGGATTTTCGTTTCGCCGAGGAACCTCTAGCCGCCCAATAACTACTTCCCACAATCTGTCAACGGTACGGCAATCGGTATGTAGACTTACAGCTGCCGCAGCGTCCATGTATTATCCAGAGGCCAATTTGTTTCCGCGTTCCTACCTTGACGACTCAATTGATACCGAAAGTTTGTCATTCTTGAGATTAATATCAGAATGCCCGTCTTCCAAGCCAAGAAATTCCGGCGTGCGACAACCGCCTCATCAACCCTAGGGGAGCGAGTCGGTGCGGCATATAGATCCCGTCTTCCCCGACATCCATTCCTACTGTTTGGCTTTCCCTTCATCATGATCATAGTCGCAGGGTCTTTCGCGTTGACACCGGCTGCCGCTTTGAGATATGAACGTTATGATCGCAAAGTAAAACAACTCAGCCAAGAGGAAGCCTTTAATCTGGGTCTCAAGGGACCGGACGGCGAGGAAGGCATAAAACGAAATCCGCGAAGAAGGATCATTGGAGACGAACGGGAAGAATACTACGTTAGTGATCATCTCCTTGTCACATAGACCTGCAGAAGTACATGACTTGCTGATTTGCATTCAAGAGGCTTATGGCGAAGGACCTTGATGACTGGGAACAAAAACGTGTGCAGCGCTTCAAAGGTGAACCTGATGGCAGGCTTTGAAGCCACTGACCTCAGATTTGAAGAAGTCACGAATCTCAATGCAATCACAACATGTTTGGTAACACCTTGTTATTCCCATGAACTCAGCCATTCTACATCGAGCTCCCAGTCAGCATAAACCCACTTCGTCACAAAAATGGACGTAACCCTTGCACTTTCTTGGCTATCTCATACATGTTAAAAAGCCAGCCAACCATTTCTTGCCTGCTCTCGATGCGTTTGCTCAACGATTACGTGCCAAAAAGTACCCGTGGCAAATGCGGCTTCACAAAAGCCGACCGCAATGAAGCATCAATTACCTGGCCCTCAAGAACACCTTCAATATTGATAGACATCTCGACTCGGCTGTGCCTTGTCAGAATGAAGGGCCTAAATGAGGCGAAGCTA